TCAAAGTTAGTTCCTATCTTTGTGTAATTCCAAATTACTTTCCAGAATGGTTGGACCTGTTCACAGCTCCACCATCAATGCATTAGTGTATTCATCTGATGACATTTTTTATGCCTCTTCTCTTGTATCCTTCTTGGTTGGTAATGTGTGGAAACCTAGTGATGCCTACTCTTTTGTCATTTTGTTGCCCTTTACCTTTTATTCTTCAAAGACTGTGGCATTACACAACTTGCTGTCATATAGCATTGCCAGAAGAATACTTTTAAAAGGCAAAATAAGAGGCCTTTCAGATAGAAACTTGGGGTCTTTAAAAGCTGTGCACAATTTCCAGAAGTCACCAAGTCCACTTTATATTTTGTCCACTTTTGAGTCTAGGCCATTGCCCATGTAAAGTGTTTGTCTAAGATATATGAACTGATGGACCAGCTCTACAAATTGACTGCCCAATCAAGCGTCATAGTCTGGATAGCAGGTATCGTTTGTTATTTTCCAGCATGTGTAATAATAAGGTTGAACTCTACTGAGTAATTATAAATCTCATTTAGGAGATGCTACATTGATCTGGGGCTTGATACTCCAGGATATTAGCCCCAAGATATTAGCATGTTGTCATCTGCAACAGAACTTCACTCTGTATAGGGAGTCCATCTTCAATTTGGAATCTACTCTAGATTTCATTCATGATGGCAAGCATCTTCAGTGAGTACATAGCTCCATTTTGTGCCTTGATATTAGTAATTAGAAGGTCAAACAAAATTATCTTTTGTTATGTCAAGGAATCTTGTATGATTTTGGCACATGCATGGGAAATACTTTGTTGGAGGAGCCCCTTAATTTTTTAGCTCAATCAAATGTTTCTTTATAGATGACAAATAACCACAGTGAGATCTTGTATTCTCTACCTCTGTCAGTTATATGACTATTAAGATGTGGTCTGCTATATATTATTTCTGAAATCCTTCGTATCCTTTTCTTTATCAAGAATGTTATCAGTGAATGTAGAAATCATTTTCATAAAAATATTGTAGAGATGACAAAGTAGATATAACAGTTAGTAGCTATTGGCATTCTTTCTGTTGTCTTTTTTTTGGGGGGGTTACAAATAAGGCTCAAGCTTTTTTATTCCCCAAGTCTTTTAGTATTGTCCCCTATTAAAAATAACATGATAATCAGTCTCTCATCTTCCTCAAAACTGTGCTTGCTCCAGCTTGGATTCTGTGTTTATTTGACACAATTCAACTGCTTTTTGTTCCTGCCTCTTCGCCCTGGTCATTTCACTCTTTAAAAAAATATTTTATTGCATCATACCACCCCAAAAATCAACAAAGATGACAACAGATAGGAATAGTCAATATTGAAGGGATTGTGGAAAAGCAAGTTCACTAAACTCCCCCTGTTTGTGGGGTTATAATTTGATCTAATCATGCTGGAAGGCAATTAGGAATTATTTGAAGAAAGATTAAAACATCCGTACCTTTTGACCCAGAGATTCCACTGAGTCATATACCCCAGCCAGGTAAAAGATAAAAATAAAAGTGACATATATACCAAAATATTTATAGTAGTACTTTTTGTAACAGCAAAAAAAAAAATAGAGACAAGGTAGATGCCCATTAGTTGGTGAATGGAAAAACAAATTGTGTTACTTGAATATAATGGAATGTTATTGTTTGTAAAAAACAAAAACAAAAACATCATGACTGAAGAATACAGAGAAACATGAGAAGAACTGTATGAAAGAAAACAAGTATTTATTAAGTGCCAGCCATGGTATTAAGCACCTTCTAAATATATTTTCTCATTTGATCCTCACATCAATCCTGAGAGGTAGGTTCTCTTATTATTCCCATTTTTTGGTTGAGAAAACCAAGACAGACAGCAGTTAGATGTCCCAGGGTCACACCCCTAGTAAATATCTGAACTGATCGAAAGTGAATTAAGTGGAACCAGGAAGACAACATACCTAATGACTACAACAATGGAAATTAAAATAACAAAAAGAATCAAACCTGAACTCTAAGGAGTTAAGATGACTGAGGATGAGATAGGAAAATGTCTCTCCATCCCTTCTTTATAGAAGTGGGAAACAATAGGTGTGAAACACTGCATACCATAGCATGTTTGCATAATGTGTTAGGGAGTTTTAGCTCAACTGATTTCTCCTTTTTCTTTGTTATATGGGTTGAATCTCTTGGAAGGTGAGAAGCAAGGGTTATATTGGGAAATGAAAGTGATATAAAAACAAAAGATCAATACATTTTAAAAGTCATTTGGTGGTGGAAAAAGGTTGTTATGTTATACCGAGAAATGAGCGAGTTGACCACCCAAGCTAATTTGAAATTGTGGACTTTATTAGCGCGCGGCTGCCAGGGATATTCACATCCAAATCAAGCAGCCCCCATCAGGGGTTGAGCTAGGGTTTATATAGGGAGTATACAGGACAGGGAGGGGGATGGATCTTTGAAGTCTGGCTGGTCAAGGACACCCTTCTCCCTCTGTGTAGATATGATAATGCTCTGCAAACTTTCCTGAGCAGCCAGATAAGGGTCTTGCTAAGGAATTTGGAGTTTTCCAGAGATATGATCTGAGGGCTAGGACCAGAGCAGCCAGATAAGGATCTTGCTGAGGCCCATGCATGAATACTGCTAGGCACAGCATCCTTGGGCTGGGGAGTGGTTGTTAGAGATAGTGTTTCTGAGACTAGGGAGGCATTTTGGGGCAAAAGTATAAGCACAAGCATCCGAGCACCCCATCATTACAGGTCAGGGATCACACAAACCAGACCAGGTGTCCTGGTTTCTGGTATAAACATAATTATCTAAAGCCATTGTATTGCAAGTTTTCTTATCCATTTGCTTTGGAGGTATGGGCTGTGCTTAAGCCATGCAGGAGTACATTTCACTATTGTTTAGATTTAGGAGGAAAGAGGTCTGGGGCAAGATTAAGCAGCAACTTCTGCTTTCCATTGCCTAAAGGGCCCTACTACCTAAATGGTAAAATAATGTTCTGCATTACAGTTATGGATATCTTTTTTTAGATCTTTTTAATTTTTCACCTTTCTTTGTTCTCATTTCATCTTTAAAATCTTCCAGATGACTTTATTTAGTTGTTTGAGTCTATCATCAGACTTTCTCCATTATCCTTTTAAGATGAGATACTGCTTATGTTACAATCCTCTTGCACAAAATTTTTCAAAAATTAGTTTTGCTAGGGGCAGCTAGGTGATGCAGTGAAGAGAACCCTGGCCTTGGAATCAGGAGGACCTGAGTTCAAATGTGGCCTCAGACACTTGACACTCACTAGCTGTGTAATCCTGGGCAGGTCTCTTAACCCCTGTTGCCTCATCAAAAAAACTGATTTTGCTGATGCTTTTTGTCTTTGAATCCTATCCATTTCATGCCCATGCCCTCCAGACTGAACCCTCCATTATGACAAAGAAAACTAAGTAAAAACATCAATACAGAAATTTTGTAAGATAATTTGTATAGTATTTTATCCTAGAATTCTCTCACTTCTCAGTTGTGATAGAGGAGATATGTTTTGTTATTTCTTATTCTGGAACTCTCCACCCACTGCTACCCCCCCCCCTCCAGTATTTAGAGTTGAACTTCCTTTTAGGGATATTTTAATTTATTTTTCCTTTGTCATATATGCTATTCTCTTAGTTCTGCTTATTTTGTTCCGCATTATTTCATTAAATCATCCCATGTTTCTCTAAATTTGTCATTTCTTCCTGTATGCTAATTAACTTATACTGTACACAATTACTTTACATGCTATAGTTTTTTCCAGCAGTTCTCTTTTCTTAAAATTTTAGAAGTGAGTTTTTATTCCAAATCAATATTGCTTTGGCTGCCATGTCTTTTTTGTCAAGGAGATCCAAGTATTTGCTAGATAAATAGTTTTTAGGTTTTTTTTATCTCCTTATTATGGAGATTGAGTTACATGAATTAAACTTCTCCAGGAAGTGGTAATAATCTATGTCTCTGTATTCTTTTATCCATTTCCTTATTTTTTGGCCTTAAGAGCTTTTAAATATAGGTCATGTTGGAATTGCCTCATTTGTATGACATATCTCCTTATTTTTATTCTTCTCTTTTGATGCTGATTTTGATCCTTGTTCTAACAAGTCAGTGATCTGACTGTATACAGGCAACTGATTTAGACATGGCTCCTACATCATTAACCAGTTAGTTGGAGATCATATATGTGGATGAGGGATTAAACTTGTTTTACTTACCTTCAGAGAGTAACCCTGGGAGCAGTGCATGGCACTGGTAGAGGTAGATTTAAGCTTGCTGTGAGGGATAACATCCAAACAATCGGAGCTATCCAAATGTGGAATGGCTTTCTCCAGGAGATAAGGCTGGACTACTACTTGGTCAAGGTGTTGTAGATGGCGTTCTAGGCTAGCTGTGGTTTAGGTTTAAATAGCTCTAAGTTCCCTTCTAACTTGGATTCTGTGATTTCTTAGGTCCCTTTCAAATTCTAAGTAAGGTTCTGTGATTCAATTTATTTCAAAGAAGCAGTTTAAAAAGATGAATATAGTAACATCAGGTTATCTGAATTATCTGAAAACCTTATCATTCCCAAAAGTTATCTTTAAACTCTCTAAAACTAATAATATACAATAGCTCAAGCCAGTCTATGTAATGAAAACTAGAGAAAAAAAATGAATGAATGAATAGTAGGTTCTATGTATATCATCATTGAATGATATCTTAGGTTGAACACAGTTGCAGCACCTGATTTTTATATTATGTATATGTTATATATTCTGGATTTAAGGGCATATTCTATATCTTTTTTATCCCAAAGCAAAGTTTATGAAATATGGTACCCAGAAGTTGAAAAAGGAGATAAATGAACCTTTCCCCTTTCATATTCAGGATCAAGAAATTTTGGAGAATGTTTTAACTGCTTGAATAAGGATTTCAAGGATACTGTAGAGAAAACCAAATCCTGCTTCAAAATTAACTATTAATTTTGTTCAATTGTAGCTAAAGGAGAGTTTAAGAAATTCAGAGAAGAGGCATCAAGAGATTCTTCGAAGGTTGGAAGGCAGATTTTTTGAAGAAAAGGTATAGAATGTTAACATCTGTTTAAGAGATTAAAGTAGAACAAATTCCTGCTCCCTCTGTATATACCTAGTTATTATTTTGTTTTAGTATCTTTGTATGAATTTTATAACCTGCTTGCTAAGACTCAATAACAGTTTTCTAATATGATATGAATTTAGTTAAATAAGCATGTTAGGTTGATGTGTCCTGTAGAGAGCTACTGCTCTCTGTTTTTTTCTCTATTCCTTTTCCTGCATTTCTCTTTTTGAAAATTATTTGGTTAATGATAGATACCCTGAAAGAAGTCTTCCTGCCTTTTCTTTCTCACCTGCTGTTAAGTTATTCAGTAGGTAAGCGTACTCTTGACCTGGATATGACTGCTTTTCTTTCTCCTATTCCGTAGAATGGCTAGACTAATTCAGCTGCTAATTTTGTTGTACTTTGAAAATTCCCCCCCCCAATCTAAAACCTTAATGCATGCTAGCATTTTTACCTACAGCTTAGTATATAACCAAGTATGTAACGAACTTATTCTTTCTGTTAGTGCCGACTAGAGAAAGAGGCTGAGAAGAAGATAGTCATGCTGGCAGAGAGAGCCCACCAGGAAGCCATTGTGTAAGAGATTGTTTTTGTCCAGCTGATTTCTCTCTCTTTCTTTTCCAGTTGCTTCTTATCTTTTATTTTAGTTTTATCTTTTTTTTTTTTTAGGTTTGCCACTTTCTTGTTCTTTATATGTGACGTTCTGCATGCATTTTTCTATCTGTTAACTTCTTTTGATATTTCTCTGTCATTTTTGCCTATGACAGTCATTTAAGGACTAGATCAATTAGTAAGGAGTTTGAGGTCTTTAACTATTTAGTATTAAAAGACTTAAACATTTTCTTGATATTCTTATTCTTCTACTCTTCTTGTCCCCACCAATGTCAGAGGTGAAGCAGTCATTGGCCTAGGTTGGCAGCCCCTTTGTGTGCCTGTGGTTTTTATTAAGCTCATACTTAAAGATATCAAAAGATTCATGATTTCATCAGTGTTCCCACGACCAACAGAGATCGAAACCCTTCCTGTATAAGGATCATAGATGAGGAAACTGAGGTTCAGAATGACTTAACCAAGGTGACACCACTAGAAAGTGGCAGTCAGGGTTAGAATTAAGACCCAGTGCTCTGTGTAGTCTTCCTTTGTTCCTGTGTCTCTCTTCCCCCCCCCCGCCCCCAAGCCTTATCATCTTATAGTCAGTCTATCAGTGATAAGATTCTTCAAACTTGGTAGGTTGGTCAGGTGCCAGGCTTCTCATCCTTTCCAGCTCAGTAGGGAAAGCTTCAAGCAACAAGCATTTATTAAGTGCTTACTAGGAGTGGGGCACTGTGATAAATCATGCTGAGTCTACAAATAAAAGTAAAGACAAAGTCAGAGCCTACACATCCCTGGCATAAGTTTTGTGTCCTTGAGGCTGCTTCTGCTCTGCCATGAGGTGTTAGTGCAGATTTTTGTGGAAATTTTCTTAAGCTGTGGCCCCCAAATGGTGATGTCAGAGTGGTCATGGATTTGATCTCCTGCCTATCAATCTGTTTCAGTCAATTGAATGATGCTGGGAGAGCTGTATTTAAAGAGAATGTCCGTCTTCAGAAGGCTCTTGCTTTCCATGTGAAGGAAGCCAATGATCTACAGATAAACACAGATAAGTTGCAAGAGAATCAAACTGTGCTCCTACAACAGAAGGTTCTTGCTCCTATTTATATTTCAACTTCACCTTTTATTAGTAATAGGTTTATAATGTTACACAAGGATACCGTAACATCATCTTGATTATTCAGCTCCATCTTTATGATAATCAGAAAACAATTATGAAACTGTGTTTTGCATGCTAGGAATTGCCCAAAGCAAGTTGGAAATACCAAATTTCAGTTCTCTAGAAGAAAGTGGTAAGCCAGGTGATAGGCCTGAATTACAAGACCAGGAAGTTTGAAAGAGATTCATGTAACCGAATACAGGGATGTCTAGTCCTGTTTGTGCTAGCCAGTCCCAACTCGGGGCAGCATTGTTGGTAGTGGTTTCAGAAATAGTGAGGAGGCTTATGTTGTTGTGGGGAAGATAGCAATATAAGGTCATACCAGTCTGTTGACTCTTGAACATGTGAAAACTAAAACCTGAACTGGCCTGAAGGTCAGTATGTTTGTCTTCTTTCCCGACACTTTGAATGTACTGTCACAGGATCATAGATTTAGAACTGGAAGGAAGGCCAAAGATCCAATCCTCCCTAGTCCAAGCCTTTCATTTTACTGATTAGGAACCTTGAGTGCTTAAGTGATTTGCCCAGGATCACACAGCTAATAATTGACAAAGCAGGAATGTGAACTTAGGCCGTCTGAAACCAAATCCAGCACCCTTTCCACTGGAGCATGCAACATTCAGATCTCTTAAATTTAAGATACATTTGTAAGTCAAATTGCCATTTTTCCCTCTCCTATTTTTAATATCTTCGTGCCCTGCTTATTACTGTAGGATTGCTCCTAAGTACAGCCATTTCCAGTGGGGAAAGCTGTGTGACTAGGAGGGAATTACTGAAGTATCTTCTTGCTTTCTGATGGCTTGTGAGCACTTCACATTCCTGGTTATGGACTGCCTTCAAGGACTCCCCCAACCTCCTACAATAGAGGGACTAGCTCGTGGTCATCATTCTAGAGCTTAAAGAAGAGTCTAGCGACCTGTGACGGCATAGGTTCTTGAACTTTCATAAACACGATGAAAAAATTACCCTGGGCATGGACAAGGATGGATGAGAGGGAGGAGAGATTGAATACAAGGAAAATAGTTAATGAGGGGCAGAACTTCAATAGTGGAAATTGAAAAGAGAGGGATAAACCCAAGAGAAACGTGACTTTTTACATTTGAACTTTGTCTTTATTGTTCTTTGACTTCAAACATTATCAAGAGTTCATTAAAGATTTAACTATTGTGATAATAATAATGTCTTTTGTGTTGGAATTTCCTTAATACACCTGTAAAAAATGAAACCCTCTTATTGGTATTGGTTTCTTCATAAAGTATATATTTGGTTTTTGTACTCTGTACAAAAAATAATCTTAGTTTTCTGATTGGGATCATGGTGTGTTATTATGAAGTAGCTTAGTGGTAAAGTGAAAATTTACAATAGAAGTGGTGATCAGCTGTTAAAATTATAGGAAAGTTGTGGTTGTATGGAATTGTGGAAATATTTACATATAATAAAGTATTCATAATCTGGGTCAAGTTTGCACAGAGAAGAGAGAAGAATTCTACATTAGGAAGGGGAGGAAAAATCTTTGTTTTCTGATTGAGTAAGTTGCTTTATCTTGGCAGGCCTTTTTTCCTTCTGGTGCTAATGTTCTGAAATGGAACATAAGGAAATACAGTGCCTCCTCCTAGTAATTTCTTCTTCAACTTTTAGCCATGTATTTAGTAGGTCCTTACCAAGTATTTATTTAAATAAATGTGTTTTCTTGTGCTGTCAGGCCAGCTCTGGAGTTGTAAAGAACTTAGTACCTCTAGATAGACGTTACTTAATGCACAGTAAGAACTGAAGGGAAGCAAGCAGAGAAGGTTCAGTTGCTTGTGGAGCAGACCCAGGGATGTTTGTTATTGTGCCCAGGAGTTAAGAGTACGAAGATTTTAACTCCAAAGCCCCAACCTCATGAAGTGATGGTAACTAATGAAAGTACTTTGTGGTAACTAAGGAGAGTATTTTTGAGTTTTGAACTAATTCAAGAAAAATGTAAAATCTGAACTGTTTTTCATTCTGCTTTAGGAAACCAATGAGCTGTTGATTAGGGAAAAGATTATGCAAATAACTCAGCATAGAGCCCAGATTCAGTGTCTTCAGAAGAAAGTGGAACAATTAGAGACAACCTTGGGTTATATGACTGCTGAGTTTGAGACTGAAATTAAAAAAATCCAGGAGCAAGCATTTATAGAGAACCAGGCAAGCCGGGTGGAAATTAACAAGCTGGAACAGGTCCTCGAGATGAAAGACAGAGAGATGAATCGAGTAAAGAAGTTGGCCAGGAACATCCTGGATGAGCGAACGGAAGTGGAAAGGTTCTTCCTGGATGCTCTGTACGAAGTGAAACAACAAATCGTTCTTAGCAGGAAGAATTACAAGCAGATGGCCCACGCAGCTTTTAATTTAAAAATGAGAGAGGCTTATGCAGGAAGAACGGAGTATCCCAGAATCCGGACATTTGATGGCAGAGTCCACAGCACCAATAGTGTAAACCAAGATCTTAGGGAGGCAGAGAAATGGTATGAATAATTCTTTCATAGAATATCCTATGTACTGTTTTTTTATATATATATATCTATATATACATGTGTACTATGGTTAGATTAGAATTCTTAAAAGTCCTCTTTAATTATATCTCAATTAAGAACACAATCAGAGTGCAAAATATGTGAATCCTGGAGCCTGTTGTGAATCGTGTAGCAAGATTGGTTTTATTCTTGGTTGAAAATTTAAACCCTGCTGCTCCTTTCCCTTTGTAAGTTGTAGGCCAGTTTGTTAGAATGAATTCTCTTGGAGGATGGTCTTTAGAAGACACTGAGTGTTCCAACACTAATAGTAAGAAAACTCTTCAGAGGCTGTCAGTAATCATGAGCCTGACTTTCTAGTTAGTTCCTATGTGCCGGACTTCTTAACCAAATGTCCTTTCGTAGTTTACATCTGCTGAAAGTGAGGAACAACACTGTTCTGTCACTATATCTTAAAGCTAAGATGGAGACTTTCCAGGACCCCAAACTATGATTCTTTACCACTTTCTAATACTTAGCAATTTGTGGGGGGACTGCTATTACACACCAGGTACATGGTCATATATTCTTTCCTTTTTATCGAAGCAGCAACATGAAATGATCCATGTCATCAAGCACCTTACAGTTTAGTTGGCCTCTCAGCTGAATATAAACAAAAATAAATAACGAGGTAGGATAGCATACGTTAAGTGCCAAGTGGATGAAGTAAGGCAACACATACTACAAGACATCAGAGGTGGTCTAGGGTGCCAGGGGAAGGCTTGAGTAATTAATTTTGACTTTCATGTTATGATATTTGTTTTTTATGTTGCTTTAAAATTTTTATTATGGTATGATCAACTATTAATCTCTTTTTAAAATGAACACATTTTGATTTCCATTTCCAAAACTGGTCAGGCATATGAATAAGGAAAAAAGTACGGAAACAGAAAATAACTGTGACTATAAATGATTGTACATATAATCAATTGTATGCCTCTTTTATTTACCCAAAAGCAAAAGCCTTATTAATTTTAACAAGACAGTAGCAAAATTATCCTATGTATTTAACATGGATTTTTTTCCTGTTTAGTGTTTTTATTTACCTTTTGGTCAGTGTGTATATTATTCTCTCAATGGTGTTTTCTTCTCTGTATCACTTTCACATAAGTCTGACCATATTTCTTTGAAATCTACGTAGTTTTCATCTCCAAAGAACAATCACTATGATCCAATAGAATCCTTATGAAAGGAGGCTGAGGCTGGTGAATCTCTTGAGCTCTGTAGTTTTGAGCAGCAGTGGGCTTTGCTGTCTGGCGTGTGCACTAAGTTCAGCCTTGACAGGATGTGCACCTGGGAACTGGGGGTGACCAGCCTGCTGAAAATGTGATGAAGAGGCCCAGGTCAGAAGTGGAGCAGGCCAGAGCTCCTGTGCTGACAGTGGTAGAATTGGGCCACAAGTAGCCCCTGTGCTTCCAGCCTGAGTGAGGTAGGGAAGTCAAGTCTTAATCAAGAAGGCCCTTTCCCCCCACCCCAAGCATGTTGAGTGAACCCCCGGTGGTGAACAAAGGGGAGACAGATAGCAGTCATGAAAGATGAGTCGGCTTAGGTTGGTTTGTGGTGTGATTTGGTGGAGAGAACACCCACACTGACGAGATCACAGGTCCATATGAATACTCGAGTATATAGCATAATAACATTCCGCCACATTCTTGTATTAAACCATTCTCCGATCATTGGACTTAATAGTTTCCAGTTTTTTGCTATGACAAATAGTACTATTAGCAATATTTTCGTGTAGACAGGACTTTTTCTCTTATCAATAATCCCCTCTGAGTTTAAGCAGTGGATCAAAGGACATGAACATTTTCATAACTGCTGTTGTATAATAATTTCATTTTATTCTCCAAAAGAGCAAAACAATTCATAGCTCCACAGGCAGCCTATTAGTTAGTTGTTTGTTTTTTTTCTTAACCATACCGACATTGAATTGATCATTTCATGCTATCTTTGCCTAGTTAATGGGTGTAAGGGGATATCTCAGAGATGTTTTACTTTGTGTTTCTATGATTATTAGTGATTTTCAACACTTTTAAAAGTAGTTTGGTAGTTTGGTTTCTTCTTTCTTCTTTCTTATCTTTTGGAGAATGACTCTTTTGTAAATTTGTGCCAATTCCTTAAAGATTCTAGTTGTCAGAATTTTATCAGAAACATTTTTTAATGTAAAGATTTTTTACTTAGGCTCTACCTTTGATTCTTATTTTGGAAGCATTGCTTCTATATGTCCAAAAGCATTTTATTTACTCTATTTAAATTTATATGGTTTTGTCTCATGATTTCCTTTAAGTAAAAGCTAGTTAAGAATTAGCCTCATAATTCACAGTTATGAAAGATATAACATTGCATTTTCATTTTAAATGTTTTACGGTATAACTTTACATTGAGGCAGCTAAGTGGCGCAGTGGATACAATCCAAGGCCTGGAGTTGGGAAGACCAAAATTTAAATCTGGCTCTGGACACATTCCAGCTGTGTGACCTTGGGCAAGTCACTTAACCTGTGTTTTGCCTCTTTTGTAAAATGGGGATAACATCTCCTTCACAAGGTTGTCATGAGGATCAAATGAGGAAGTATCTGTTAAGAGCCTGTAACCTTAAAGAGCTAACTCTGTAAATGTGCTTATTACTATTATTATTTATATTGAGATCATTGATGCATTTGGAACTAATAGTGGCATATGAAATAAGATAACGAATAATTCTTTCACAAGAGGTATTCATATTTTGGGGTTTATCATGAACATTTTGTTCTAAATCTTGTTTATGTAATCTGTTTTATTCAGCCACTTTTCTGTTTTTTTTTTTTTAAATTCAGTATCAGATAGTTTTGATAATTAGGACTTTGATAATTAGTTTAATTTTAGCTCAAGCAATGCAGGTCTCCTTTCCTTCTTACCTCCCCTGCCATTAGTGATATTCTTTACCTTTTGTTCTTTGATGTGAATTTTGTTTTTGTTTTTTTTTTAATCTCATTTTGTGAAATATTCTATTGGTATTTTGATTCCGAAAAATCTCAAATCTATAAATTAAATTGGATATTACTGACATTTTTATTATGTTACTGTGACACAATCATGAACACCAAATACCTCTCCAGTAATTTAAGTTTCCTTTGTTTCTGTGAAAATGGTTTTCTATTTATATAAGTCCACATGGGTTTTGATAAGTTAGTTCCCAGATAATAAATATTGTTATTTTAAATGGTGGGGTTTTTTTCTGTTCTTTTTCCTGGTTTTTGTTAATGATATGTGAAAGGGCTGACAAATTTTGTCAGTTGATTTTATGTTGCACTATTTTACCCATTTTCTCAATTAATTTATTTGATTTCCTTGAGTTTTCTACACAAAACAGCCTGTCATCCACAAGCTGATGTTTTAGTCTTCTCTTTTCCGCTGCTTATTCTTTTAATTTGTTTTTCTTGTCTTATTTTTGTAACAAACATTTCAAGAACTATGTTAAATAGCAGTGGTGACAGAAGGCTTTACTCCTTGCTTTACTCCTGTTTTTAGTTGGAAAGCTAACATTACTTTTGATTTCTAATAAATGATTTTTATAGCATGTTAAGTAAAATCCTGCCATTCCTATACTTTTAAGTGTTTTCAAGGTAAATAAGCAGTGTATTTAATCAAAGGCTTTTTCTGCATCTCCATGATACTAATTATTTTTCCTAATTTTGACCCATTTTTCAATTCCTTTTAATTGCAACTTAAATTATAATGAATTTTAAAACTGTATAGCTGTATTCTATTTGTCAGTATCTGATTTGATATTTTTCATATCAGTATTCATTAGTGATATTCTTTAGCCTGATACTTTTCCATTTTGGGCATCAGGCTATATTTTTCTCATAAAAAGAATTGGATATGTTTCTCTCTCAGCTTTTGAAAAAAGTTTATATAGCTTAGGAATTCTTTGTTCTTCAGGTGTTTGATAGCATTTTCATGTTAATCCCTTTTAGTTATTTTCCTCCCTCTTTTTCAAAGGAATCAGTTCATTTGTGTGGTACAATAGAGAAGTGGCCCTGCAATCATAGAACCTGGGTTAAAATCCTGCCTCTGTTGTTTCGTTCTGCAAGTAACTAGGTACAAACAAGTTATAATTCCCCCTCTTGGACCTATTTCTAGTGTTTATACTTTAACCCTGAAGCAGTGAGGTGGCTCAGTGGATAGAGTCCCAGGCCTGGAGTCAGGGAGACTCATCTTCCTGAGTTCAAATCTGGTCCCTAAGCAAGTCACTTCACCCTGTTTGCCTCAATTTCTCATCTGTAAAATGAGCTGGAGAAGGAAAGGGCAAGCCACTCTGGCATCTTGGCCAAGAAAACCCCAAATGGGATCACAAAGACTTGGACACAACTGAACAACAATAATTTTTGACTGATTGACTCAAATGGAAGTCTCTGGCCCTGAAGAATTTACACTATATTGGGGAGAGCATCATGTACACAGAAAATTAAATATAAAATATGTGCAAAATAATTTCTAAGGAGGAGACTGGTGCTAATGCGGAGACTGTGTAAGTAAGAGGGAAAAAAGCCCTGGCTTTGGAGTTGTAAGATCTGGGGTTCAAATCCTTGGTTAACGTCTCCTGGCCTTCTTGCTTCATCTGTAGAGTGTTGGGGAATGCCTCCACTCAGAGGTCCTACAACCCTCCTGGAGAGTAATTCCTTCACCTTGGTCTGTTGAAGGTCAATAAATTAGGAAGCAAGGCTAGCAGATTTAAAAGCTTAATTAGCATCAGTTGATGGGCATTTGCCTCGTGGTTAGCAACTCCAGCAGACTAGGGGAGATAATATACACATTTAATTATATATTTACCTCTCTATATATAGTTTTATATAGCCTTAAGGCAACAGGAGGCAAAAGGATTAGTGTTAGGGTCTAACTTGTTAACTTTGTCAAAGTTCAGGTTAATACTGGTGGGGATGTTTTTTTTTCAGTTGATCCCATCAGAATATCCAGGTGGGACTTGAGAACTCCTTCAAGAGAGATGATAGAATCAGTGGGTTTATCTTGTTGCTAAATAAAAAATAGTTGTCATTGTTCAGTTGTGTCCCACTATTCTTGACCCTATTTGAGAATTTCTTGGCAAAGGTACTGGAGGGGTTTGCCATTTTCTTCTCCAACTCATTTTACAGATGAGGAAGGAGATTTTCAGGTTCTGGCGATGGAAAATAAGGAATGAGGCCCCAAGAGCTGAAATGGAAAGACTTTAGCCCAGGGCAAGAGGTGAAAGGATGAGGGTGGAGGGAGAGAGAGAGGGAGAGGGAGGGAAGTGGGGGAGAAAGAAAGTGGGGGAAGAGATGGAAGAGGGAGGAAGAAACAGAAAAGGAGGGAGGGAAGGAGGTAGGGAGAAGAGAGAGAGAAAGACTGAGCTGTGACAGAGAAGGTAAAGATCGAGGAGGACCAGTATAAGCATCTCAAGGCAAAGGATGTAGGATGATGCTACCATTTGTACCTGCCTATTGCTAGATTGAGAGAAATTCCAAGAAAAGAGGTGCTCTTTCCCTACTTTCTCTTCTTAGTATGTCTATTAACAAGTGGTAATATAATTGGCTGTTTCTTTCTCTAAATGTTTCAGGTAACCTGGATTTTGCCTTAATCACAAAGACGTCAGGTCTGCTAGAGATAAATATAATTGTAAATTAAGGTAAAGAGCCAAACCTTTGCCTGAATGTTAGAAATTTACCAACCTACAGGTGCAGAGTGATAGTTATCTACTCCGGACTTTTCGTGTTGTATAAATTTCCTGTAATAATCTAAGGAAGGAGCTCTGCTCCCGGCAGGTTCATATCAGATTCAGCCAAACCGAAAAAAAGGAAGTGGAGCAACAGAAAAGAGAGTCATACCAGTTTATTCTTCTTGTGGTGGCTGGCGAGAAGGAAGTGAGGAATCATCCATACCCCCTTGCCAGTGTCCACTTGATTTATAGAGAAGCAGACAAAGAAGGCCATTTGCCAGCAGTAGGCTTACAAGTTTGCATTAACTTTAACAATATCATGGTGACTTAGCATGGAGAGTCCCTGCCGTCAAGGAACTTACAATCTCATGGAGGAGAACTATATGCAAACAAATATACAAACAAGGCATATATAGGATAATAAGGAGATAATTAACAGAGGGAAGACACTAGAATTAAGAGGGGTTAGGAAAGGTAAAAGGTAAAAAATGGGGTGTTAGTTGGCACGTCAAGGAAGCCACGGAAGGCAGCAGGCAGAGTTGAAGAGGAGAGCCTTCCAGGTTTGGGGACAATCAGAGAAAATGCCCAAAGCCCAAAGATGGAATGAGACAAGCCAGGAGGCCAGTGTCACAGGACCCAAGAGTATGTGTTTGGAAGTAAGGTATAAGAAGACTGGAAAGGCAGGAAGGGGCCAGTTTATGAAAGGCTGTAAATGCCACACAGAGCATTTGTATTTGATCCTGAAGGCAATAGGGAGGGGCTGGAGTTTATTGAGTAGAGGGAGTGACCGCTTAGCTATTGAGGAATGTGTTGGTCTTATAATATCTATTAATTTTTTATTACCTTGGATATTTGATGATTTGAAAGATTTTTTTTCCCCTTTTGATTGTTTCCCTTCTTATCCTAAGTGATTTTGTTTGTGTGGAAGTTTTTTAGTTTAAAATAATTAATTTTATCTGTTTTATCTTCTTCAATTGGCTTTATCATTTGTTTAGTTAAGAAAACATGAGACGTGTATGATCTGCTTCTCTTCTCATTATTTGTTGTTCAGTTGGTTTCAGTCTGGTCTAATGCTTTGTGACACCATTTGGGGTTTTCTTGGCAAAGATACTGGGGTGGTTTACCATTTCCTCCTCCAGCTCATTTTACAGATGAAGAAACTGAGGAAAACAGAGGTTAAGAGACTTGCCCAGGATCACACAACTAGTAAGTGTCTGAGGCCAGATTTGAACTCAGGAAGATGAGTCTTTCTGATGCCAGGCCCAGCACTGCATCCACTGTACCACCTAGCTGCCCTATTCTTTATGGCATGATCTTTGATATTCAGGTCACATATTTGTATTATGGATTATAGTGTAAGGTGCTGGTCCAAGCTTAGTTCTGCGCAACTGCTTTCCAGGTTTCCCAGCAGTTTTTATCAAGTAGGTAGTTCTTTCCTAAGTTAAGTTTTCTGGTTTAGCAAACCCTGGGATATTGAGTTCCATTGTTTCTGATCCTCCCTTGTTCTGGCTCTCTAGTTTTTAATCCAAGATCAGATGGTTTTGGTGACTACTGCTTTATAATATAATTTGAGGTCTAGAAGTGTGCCATTCCTGCTTTGTTGCCTACCTCTTTTCATTATTTCCTTTGATATTCTAGATCTTTATTTTTTTACAAATTGATTTTGTTGTTTTGTGATTTCTGTAAAGTTTCCCTTTGATAATTATATTGGTGTAACATTAAAAGTGTAAACTAACTTTGGTAATATTATCACTTTTATTATATTGGCATAGCCCAGCCATTCCTTCTCATTCCTTCTGCTATTTAAGTTGTTCTTTATTTCTTTAATAGTAACAGTCTCTTAACTAGGTTAGATAATTTTTGAGGTGATTTCCAGCCCAATCACTCTGTGTACAACTCATAGTAAATAAAATATATTTAGTACAGTGGTTATGAAATCTTATTTTCTACTGCCTCAGTATTCTTAGAGATGTTACATTTTCCTTCAAAAGCTTCCTTTAGCTGGTTTTACCTTGCACTAATATTTTTATTTGTAATTATTCAGGACAAACATTAAAAAAGGAATGGATGTGGATATTGGAGACTTGACATGGGAACAGAAGGAAAAAGTTTTGAGGTTACTCTTTGCAAAAATGAATGGTTGTCCTCCAATGTAAGTTTCTGATTCTTCAAATAATGGCAATAGCTCAATATCAAGTTATGTCAGCCCTTGGAACCGAACAAGAATAGGGAGTGTGAGCTGTTATGCTGTCATTTCAGGATGAAGTTGGGGATAAAGTATCTGGGTTTTGTTCAGGAAGTTTGAAAGAACTGTAACAATTTCTAAAACACAAAAGTAGGGTGATAAATTGACTAAATGTATAGGACAATTACGAAAAGCCAAAAGTAAAAGTGTTGGGGGGGAAACAAAGAAAATTTAAGTTTAGATATTCCAAATATCTAAACATGTAAACATTTCTGATAAGAAAGGTAATAACCTTTCTTATATATTTTTCTTTCATATATATATCGGGAGTCAGGATTTTTGCCCAGTTGGTGATAAAGGTAAAAGATGGAAAATGACCCTAATTTTTTTTGTATATATGTGTTTTTTTTAAATAGACAAGAAAAATTGTTTTATTTTTGTTACTTTGCATCCTTAAATTTCACAAATTTAGTTTTTTTCCAGTGTATCACTTAAATCACTTAAATCGTGTGATTCTGAGGCTTAAAAATCAAACTATTTCTTTAGTTCTTCAAAGGATCCATGTCCTTATTTATGTAGGGGTAACCCTACCAATGTAATTTACCAGCCATACAAACTTAAAAAATAATGAATGTTAAATGTTGTTTTTATGTGTAATTGGGGGAAAAATAAAATATTATTTTAAAAAACCCATTCTAGTCAACTATAGAAACAAAGTTCTAAAATATTCATTATAGTACTCTGTAGTGGCAAAGAACTGGAAAGAAAAGCGCGTGCTCATCAAGTGATGAATGGTACAGCACAACTGATAGATACATGGATGTAATAGAATATTACTGTGCAGCAAGAACTGACAAGTGCAAGGAACTCAGTAACGTCAGAGGAAAATAAAAAGAAGCAAAATAGCCATACATGTAATAACTACAATGATGTTAATACAAAGGTCACTAAGAGGAAGCATAAAGAAGTAAGTGAAAAGCATAAATGTTCCCAGAGAATAGATAATGAAATACAAGCCTCTCTTTCAGGGAGAGGCAGGAGATGATGAGCAGAGAATGTTGTACACATTGTCAGAATGGCCATTTTAGTTTCTGTTATTAAGAGGGAAGGTTCAATTTGGAAGGGGGAAGATAAATAATTTCCAGAATTGACTCTGACGAAAGGCATCAATAAAACTTATTTTAAAAAATAAAGCAATAATAGACAGAAGAATATATGCAGCAGCCTACTTAAAAATCCACTCTTTACTTCCCCATTGCCCTTTGAGTCATCCATAATTTTGATTCATCTGAAATCATGGTGTTTCATCACTGGGGATGAGTATTAAAGAGATGTTTTTAAATGTTAGAGGAGTGCTTAGGATCATTGATAGTACTTAATTGTTTCCCAAATACAATCCAATCTACTCTGTTCCTACTCAACTCGTTGCTCATCTGCATATGCATACAGTGCCTGTCCAAGTACTGGACTAACTTGGTGGATGGCCCATCTATAATTGTGTGTTTATAGGCAACATGTATTCTTCATCCACTTACTTGGCTTTTCACGTGTGAATTGTCAATCCATTCTTTTGTGTGGCTGTTGTTATCATTGGGGCTGATAGGAAGATGGAACTTTATGAAATCGATACAATGTCATTTTCAAACAGAATCATCTGGAAGACCTCACACTTCAGGATTTACTTTACCTTTACCTAATAATAACAATAGTAATAGCAAGCATTTTTATATAGCACCTACTATGTGCCAAGGTACTGTGCTAAGCTTACCAATATTATCTCATTTGATCCTCACAGCAGTCCTGGGAGGTGGGTGTTATTTTTTTTAATTCTTTTTTTTAAAAAATAGTATTTTATTTTATTTTTTCCCTATTACATGTCAAGACAATTTTTAGCATTCATTTTTACAAGATTTTGAATTCGAAATTTTTCTTCATCCCTCCCCTCTCCTCTTCCAAAAATGGAAGGCAATTTGATATAGGTTATACATGTACTACCAGGTAAAACATATTTCCATATTAGTCACAGTTGTGAAAGAAGAAACAGATCAAAAGAGGGGTAAAAAGAATAAAGTAAATGAAAAAAGTATGCTTTGATCTGTATTTGGGGTCCATCAGTTCTTTCTCTGGATGCGGATAGTATTTTCCTTCATGGCTCTTTTGTAGTTGGATCGTTGGGTTGCTGAAAAGAGTTGAATCATTCATAGTTGGTCATCACACAATGTTGCTGATACTGTGTACAATGTTTTCCTGATTGTGCTCATTTCTTTTTCTTTTAATAGAAATTTATTTATTTTTAGTTTTCAACATTTACTTCCACAAGATTTTGAATTCCATATTTTCACCCCTTCTTGCCCTTCCCCCCACCCCAAGATGCATGCATTCTGAATATCCCTTCTCCTAGTCTGCCCTCTCTGCTATCTCTACCTCCCTTCTCTTATCCCCTTCCCCTTCTATTTTCCTGTAGGGCAGAATAGACTTCTGTACCCCCATTTCCTGTATTTCTTATTTCCCAGTAGCATATGAAAACTTTTTTTTAAAACATGTGTTTTTAAAACTTTGGGTTCCAAATTTTCTCCCTTCCTCCCTCCCCACTCACCCTCATTGAAAAGGCAAGCCACTCAATATAGGTTATACATGTGCAGTTATGCAAAACACTTCCATAGTAGACATGTTGTGAAAAACTAACTCTATTTCCCTTACTCCTGTCCTGCCCTCCCATTTATTCTATTCTTTCTTTTGATCCTGTCCCTCCTCAGAAGTATTTACTTCTGATTACACCCTTTCCCCTCCTCTCTATCATCCCCCCTGCTCTCTTGTCCTTTCTCCCCCTATTTTCCTGTAGGGTGAGACAGATTTCCATACCCGATTGAGTGTGTATGTTATTCCCTCCTTAAGCCAAATCCTATGAGAATAAGATTACTCATTCCCTCTCACCTTCCCCTTTCCCCTCCACTGTAAGAGACCTTTTCTGTTTTTTTTTTGTGAGATAATTTACCCTTCTACCTCTCCCTTTCTTCTTCTCTAGTATAATCCTCTCTATCCCTTAATTTTATTCTCCAGATATGACCCCTTAATCTTCAACTCACCCTGTGCCCTCTATCTATCTGTCTGTCTATCTATCTGTCTATCTATCTATATATATACACATATAATTTTTTCCCTTCAACTACCCTAATACTGACAAAGGTCTCATGAGTTATAAATATCTTTCCATGCAGGAATGTAAACAGTTCAACTTAATAAGTCTCTATGATTTCTCTTTCCTGTTTACCTCTTCATGTTCCACTTGAGTCTTGTATTTGAAAGTCAAATTTTCTATTCAGCTCTGGTCTTTTCATCAGAATGCTTGAAAGTCCTCTATTTCACTGAATGACCATTTTTTCCCCTGAAGGATTATACTCAGTTTTGCTGGGTAGGTGATTCTTGGTTGTAATCCTATCTCCTTTGCCCTCCGGAATATTATATTCCATGCCCTGCTGGTCCTTTAATGTAGAAGCTGCTAAATCTTGTGTTATCCTGATTGTGTTTCCACAGTACTTGAATTGTTTCTTTCTGGCAGCTTGTAATATTTTCTCCTTGACCTGGGAACTCTGGAATTTGGCTACAATATTCCTAGGAGTTTTCCTTTGGGGATCTCTTTCAGGAGGAGATCTGTGGATTCTTTCCATTTCTATTTTGCCCTCTGGTTCTAAAATATCAGGGCAGTTTTCCTTGATAATTTCTTGAAAGATGATGTCTAGGCTCTTTTTTTGATCATGGCTTTCAGATAGTCCAATAATTTTTAAATTCTCTCTCCTGGATCTATTTTAGGTCAGTTGTTTTTCCAATGAGATATTTCACATTGTTTTCTAATTTTTCATTCTTTTGGATTTGTTTTACAGTGTCTTGATTTCTCATAAAGTCACTGTCTTCCAATTGCTCTATTCTAATTTTTAAGGAAGTATTTTCTTCAGTAATCTTTTGGACTTCCTTTTCCATTTGGCCAATTTTATTTTTTAGGGCATTCTTCTCCTCATTGGCTTTTTGGACCTCTTTTGCCATTTGGGTTAGGCTATTTTTTAAGGTGTTATTTTCTTCAGTATTTTTTTGGGTCTCCTTTAGCAAGCTGTTGACTTGTTTTTCATGATTTTCTTGTATCACTCTCATTTCTCTTCCCAGTTTTTTCTCTACTTCCCTTACTTGCTTCTCAAAATCCCTTTTGAGCTCTTCCAAGGCCTGGGACTGATTCATATTTTTCTTGGAGGCTTTGGATGTAGGAGCTTTGACTTTGTTGTCTTCTTCTGGTTGTATATTTTGATCTTCTTTTTCACCAAAGTAAGATAATATAGCCTGACTCTTTTTGCGCTGCTTGCTCATGATCCCAGCCAATTACTTGAGTTTTAAACTCTTTGTTAAGGTAAGAGTCTTCTTCCAATGTGGAGAGTGTACTGTCCCAAGCTTCAGGGGTTTGTGCAGCTTTTTTCAGAGATACTTGTAGGGACCTGTAAATTTTCAGTTCTTGTAAGGTGGTATGATAAGGGGCAAGGTGTTTACTCTTTTCCTGGCCTGAGCTCTGGTCTTTGAGTGACTGGCCACAAGCAGTCTTTTCTCTCTTGGAATTGTGAGGAGGGTTTCCTCTCCACCGGCCACTACAAGCTCCACCATGCAGCGCTCCTTCTCGCCCCAGGACTGCTACCCAGAACTGTGACCCAGATCCAAGCATGGGCAAAGCAAGAGATTCCTGCCTCAGCACTGGCAAAGAGATTCCTGCAATCTCCCTCTGATCAACCACTCAATTCCCCCTCAGTCTGTGGGCTGGAAGCTCAGGAGGCAGCTCCCGGGCCATGCTTGGGGAATGGAGCTGAGACCACCTCACTTCTCTCTCAGCACTGCAGAAACAGACTTTTCTCACTGACCTTCTAAGTTGTCTTTGGCGTTTGTGGGTTGAGAAGTCTGGAAACCACCACAGCTGCCTGTGGTTCATTCCT